TTTAATACGCTGCACGACCATTGGTTTCACTGCGTGATTGAAAAAAAGGCTTCAGTTCAGGAGAAAAAAGTTTTTTTCCCATAGCATCTTAAGACAAGACGCAGTACGAGTGTAGTGTCGACAGGGAACCATGGTTAATTTGCGGTTCCCATGGCTACAAGAACCATGATTTTTGGTATTATTTGTGTTAAAACCATGGCTAATTTTCATAAGGGAACATGGAAACTCAGAGAGAATATTAGATTCGCTGGTGGTGGTGAAATAATTACCAACATTAAAACACATTATTAACGTCAACAGCCAAAAAAGATTCACAGGATTATGAATGTGCCTGAAAGTGATGCAGGGGCTTCATTTTCACTTTTTTTTTTCTTCTCTCAGCGCCGGATTGCTGATATCTTTTCACGAGCTTAGTTGTCCATCAATTATGATCATTTGCATTCAGCCGCAAACATGAGCGGGGTGCGAGCGGTCACAAGTGCGGATGCGGGAATGGCGCTGTTTTTTTTTTTTTTGAGCAACTGGGATGGTGCCCCCCGGGAGTTGGTGCCCTATGCAAACTGCATACTCTGTGTATAGGAAGCGGCGATATTGACACAAATACACCATTAACAACTCTGGGAACGTGGTGAAAAGATTTCAAGTCAATTTTTAGAAAATAACATTTCAAATTGAATCGAATGGGACAAAATAGTTGGTTAAAATAGCTGTAAAATAGACTGAGTTTGATGGTTTAAAACTTCTGATGTTGAGGTGTTGTGGCACATGATTTGAGAGATTTTCAGGATTGTGGATGTCCCTCATCTAGAAAGAGAGCAAAAGAGAAGCTACAGTACACAGATAGTAACAAACAAATCCACAAAATGTCACTGAAACTTGAGTGGTTGACCACTTACGTGGGTTACTGATGCTGGTACATGTCAGACATTCAGCTAAGTCCTTCCAGGTCTCTTGGAAATAGTTATTTAGGAGAAGCTGGTCATCTTTCCAGCCTCCTCAGAAGTCCTGGCACCATTACAACTCTTTTGGTTTGAGGGTCATCTGAGCTGCCTGAAAACCAGGTTCATCTTGTACAAGGAAACCCCACGGTAAAACACAAATAGTGAACAATCAGCAAAATGTGGAGCTGTGAGCTGCAAAAGAGAGGAAAACACTCAGGTTTATCAAGTAGGCATCCTCTGGGAGGTTGTATCTCGCCTCCTCTACCTCCTCGATTGGTATGTTTTGGAAGACAGGTAGGTGGCCAGCTTGCCATAAAAACTATTATATATCTTCTGCAAGTTGCAATCCTCCAGGCAATCTGCACACAAAACAGAGCATTCGTTCTGTATGTAAACTGGAAGTGGAGAGTCTATTTGTAAATGATCAAAAAACACCAAGAATTCCTGGTATAGCAATTTTGACCTGGGACTGACTCCTCAGCAGCACTGATTTCAGGAGCTCCTTGGCCAGCTCTTCATAGCACATCGCTCATCCTCCTCTCCCTCAATAAGATACTCTGGTCCTCCAGCATGTCTAGCCCCTCGAGTTGGCTCTCCTTCTCCTGCAGATCCAAGATAGAGGCCATTGGTACCTCATGAGTTTGACCAGTTCAGCAATGATTTTCTTGTCATGTCAACATGGCTTCTTTATTCTTAGATGCCTAAAAGAATAAGATGTTGACATTACTTAAATTCCACCAAAATGGCACCTTTATTTGACACAAAGTTCAACTCTGGATTCTGATAGGGAAGGTGCACAGTAAGTACAGGTTTGATGTCTCTAGTGCAGGGGTGACCAATCCTGCTCCTGGAGTGTATCTCCAGTACACCTGACTGGAAATTTCTAGTGATCCTGAAGACCTTGGTTAGCTGGTTCAGGTGTATTTGCTGGAAGGTGGCCCTGCAGGAGCAGAACTGCACACCCCTGCTCTCTGGCCTTCGAGGTCCACTTAGTTCCAGGCTTCAGGATCAAACTCACCTGCCTGTAACTTTCTAGTAATCCTAAATACTTTGATTTGCTTGTTCAGGTGTGTTTGATTAGGGTTGGAGCTAGAGGGCTGCATTGGGATTAGGACCCCTAATGCGGTTTTACCTTTACCTTTGTGGTTAAAAAATATAGTGTGGGTCTCACCATCCTGCTTTTTTATAGAAATAAAAATCATTTAGTTCAGTTGGAAAATGTAAACCATAACCATAAACGAAACCATAGTGGACATTAGTGCACTCATTCAATCCCATAACACACTGCAATAACAAGCACACAACCGATGTACACTCAATGGCTATAGAATACCAATAATGCACTGTGAGGGTTGTGCCGAATTAATTACCACGTCTCGCCAGAAAGCTGCACCTGCAGCTGAATCATCCATTCATCCATTTTCCAAACCACTGTCCAATGTGAGTACAGCATAATATCATACAGGTATACATTTTTTAAAATTGATTATTAAATAGTTTAATGGAGGTTTATACATAGTTTCCATGGCAGAATTCAAGATAAGTTTTTTCTGGAGCTGCCAGTTTGTGAAGTTTCATATGATTATTAAACAGAAAACACAAACTATTCAAAAGCGACAGTCCTTCTGTCACACTCGGTGTCTGAAATCACTGACTTGTTTTCATTCCTTCAGATGGACTATATTAGTGGACTAATGTAGGGGATAGTGAATGAGGGTATAGGGTGTGATTTTGAACACAGCACAGGTCTTGCAGTCTCTACTAATGAGCTGATGAGTTCAATCAGGTGTGTTAGATGAGGAAGACATGCAAGATGTGCAATTTAATGAATGGGCTCCCAGTACAAGGTTCGTGAACAGTCAAAAAGTGAGATTAGATGCAGATTGATGCATGTGACTCAGATGGAGCAGTAGAGCATCCTACAATATGAGTTAACCTTAATTAACCTATTGTTAACCTGTACACAAAATGACCAACTTATTAAATAGGTTATATGACAGAGTGATAGCACTGGTTAATCTTTTTACTTTTCTTATCCACTAAGGAGCTTTGGGTGCACATACACACTGTTAGCGCTCAAACACACTACATTTAACCCATCGTTTACATCCCTAACATTTGTTACAGAACAAACACACACATGCACATGATAAGGGGCCTATACGAAGGCCTTGGGTTTACCCATCACTTTGCCCCATGATGGTCATAAATACAGCATATGAGCGAAAAAGTCACATGTCTGAAAAAGATGAATACATAAAATACATAAAAAGTTATATTAATACATCTACAAATATCACTGGGTCCCACATTCCTGCTACAGCTTCTTCAGTATGTGAATGTTAACAGTAAAATAACATTCTGCAGCATTAATTTGCAGGTAATGGAAGAGTAATTTGTCTGGAAATTCAAAGCTTAAGCAATAATTTGCAAACTCATTACTTTCTTCTGTGAACTAGACGTTATGTGATGCATCTCAGCTTATCACAAACATGGAAGCAAAATGCCGTTGGTTTGTTCATGATGCACAAATACAGTATATGAGGCATTGTGCTGCAAGTATAAATTATGCCACTTTACACATGACAGTGTTTAAATTCTAAAATTAAAACACAGTTGCTTGATTATTGTAGAACAAAGGCTAACCTCGCTTGCCCTCTCTGATTATTTTGTTCACAACACTGCACACAAGTACAATTTAAAGGGGTCATATGATGCGATTTCAATTGTTCCTTTCTCTTTGGAGTGTTACAAGCTGTAGGGTAAACAGGTCAATAATTTAATAATTTAATAATTTAGCTCAAAGGGAATCATTTAAGATTTTAAAGGGAACTCCACCATTGATATGCAAGGGAATTAGGACAGAATCACTGTTTTACGGCAGATCACTGAGACGGCCAGCGAGTACTAAAGTCTCAAATCCAAAGAGATATTCTTTATAAAAGTTAAGATTCAGCCACGCCTACCTAAAACGGCTCGTTCTAACACGCCCCCACATACCTACGTCACTATCTGGGAAGATTTGCATAACGCCGCTCAAACGTTCACGAAAAGAAAGAAGGCGTAACTTATATTCTTGCTATAGTATTGTTGTTGTTGCCGCCATGTCGTGAAGGCGCTGTGTGTTTCGTTGTCGTCACATGCTTGAAGTATTCGGGCAATCACAACACACTGGATAGCTGGCCAATCAGAGCACACCTCGCTTTTTCAGACTGATGAGCTTTGTAAAAATAGACGTGTTTCAGAAAGGCGGGGCATAGAGGAGAAATAATGTACAGTATGTGGAAAATAATGTGTTTTTTGAAACTTAAACTGCATAAACACATTTCATTACACCAAATACACAAAATAATGTTTTTTAGCAACATCATATGACCCCTTTAACCAAACCTACAGCACAACAGATGAAGGTCAGGTTTGATCCCAACTGAACCCATTAGACCACGGAGGAGGCAAAGAGAAAATTCATAATTTTGCTTATAGTTTCATTTTTACATACTAAAAAAATGAAAAAGCACAGTTTTTTTTAAGTAAAAAGACAAGCTGTCATTGGAACAGAATCAATTCATATTCATGAGGTGAGAATTTGACGTTGTACGCACATCGTCTCGGTCAAATTTCACCGAATTTGTTCGTAGGAAGGATTCCGTGATTCATCTGAGTAGCCTACTCACTCTCTTTTTTAAATTAATTTGTTCTTTTGTATTTATATTTATCTGGTTACACTACACTACTTTTAGCATTACGTTTCAACTTTTAGAAATCAGAATGTTGTATGTTTTCCAGAATGTATGCAAATGTATGTTTTCCAATTTGATTCCATCACTGGTCTAATAATCTCATTGTGTTTTTTCCCTATAAATGTTACAGCGTCATATATTTTTTTTATATTATGTTGTCAAATGTTGCTTTGTACATGGTAATAATTTCAAGCATGTGACTGACCTTACAGGATTATTCCTAAACAGATGTTCTCTCTTATAAACAGCAGTTATTTCCGAACGGTTCGCGGATCGGTTCGATTGAATCACTCGTTAGCGAGTGGCCCACTGAACTGGAAACGGAGCCCGTGATTCAGCGCCGCCTCTCGGCCGTCTGCAGATCGCGTCTGCTCCACAATTTCTTCTGAAGCGAAGCCCCGCCTCTGACCATCGCAAATCTGTGTATGTGAGAGATGAGCAGGAGAGAAAGCCGTCCGGACCGTGTGCATGAGAAGTGAGGTCCTCGACCATCGCAGTCCAGCTTGAGCGTCGGTTCGGTGATGGCCGCGGCTGTGGAGAGAGGAGGGGTCCGATCCGCCTTCATGAACCCGGGTGTCGGTGCACCCACTCCCGCTCCCGCCGCCGCTGCTGCGCCCGGGGGATCAGCCATGGCCGGAGCTGGGGGCTCGGGCTCGGGTGCGGCGGGTTTGAGTCCCATCATGCCTGTGCCTATGAATTTATTTGCAACGTGGGAGATTGACCGCTCATCTCCGAGCTGTGTTCCGAGGTAACGTACATCAAACCTAAATAAAGCTGCAGTATTTATCAAGCACTAATGCATTTGTTTGCCTGCATGCTTTAATGAGCGTTAACTTGCGCATGTTATGCTGAAGGAGGTCAAAACAAAACTCGTGCATTCAGTGTTGTGATGGTAATGTGTTATGACACATTGAAACGTGTTCGTTTTATGCACTTTTATGTTGGCATGTGTCTATATGAACAAAATATGACCGGATTTGTGTGCATGTTTCGTAAAGCGGGTCACAACAAATCAGATTGATGCAATGTTGAGATGCTGGAAAACGTAATATTTGGATACATAATGACATGTCAGAGAGTTTATATAGGTGCATTTCTTGTGTGTTTAGTTTGGTTTATATACACAGAAAATCACAATTAGTCAACATGTTTGGGGGTCTAAAATACTAAAGTTAAAAACATTGCAAAGACAGGGCAGTGCTTTAATGCTTAGTTTAGGTGACCTGAAAATTGACTTTCAGAGCCTGTGATCAACAACTATATATTTAGGAAGGGTTTTTTAGTGCCTCATTTCAATATCTTTCTTCTGATATATGCCATCAACATGCCATTTTGTCTCATTAATATCAATTAAGTGCAACCTTGCATATATTTACTGAAAATTCTTGTTTTGGTTTCAAAATGAGGATGGAGCATGTTTTTAAAAAGCCTGTGTTCATTGCATGGAAGCTATTTAAGTCTGAAGCAATCGGTGGTCTCAAAAGCCCTTTTGTATTCATTACAGTCAAATCAATGCAAATTTGAGCTTGTTATAATGACCGTGAGTGTCATTTGTTTGTAAAAAAGATGCATATTCAGGCTTTTGAAGGAAGTTAGTCACAATTATTATCTGCTATTAACAGTTTTCAAGTACGATTCTGTTATTATCAGTTTTAAACAGTTATAAATGCTGCATTACATGATTATAGCTGTTGTTGACTATATAGAAAGCCAGCGTATCTCTTAGGGTTTGATCAAATCACTTTTGCCCTGCTTGACTTGTTTGTAAGAGAAAGCATCATCCCAATATTTACAATATCTGTACGTTATTCCATTTCCTCTTTGCCCAATGAATGCATGATGCATTTTGTCCGAATGACCCAAACCACATCCTGTATTATGAATTTAAAACCCAGTTCTTCAGTGAACATCACCATAACAGTGAAGTTAAAAGATTGGCAAGATGCTTTACACATTCAAGGCTAGTAGGTGATTCTGTCACAAAGCTCATTTTAGCATTACATTTACATTTTCATTGAAAAACCTGGCAACACTTTAGTTAAGGGACCAATTCTCTCTGTTAACTAGCTGCTTATATTAGCATGCATATTACTATCATATTGGTTGTTTATTAGTACTTTTAAAGCACATAATAATGTCTTATTCTGCATGACCATATTTTAGCTCCCTTAATCCACCTCATACCTAAACTTAACAACTACCTTACTAACTATTAATAAGCAGCAAATTAATTTACTGAGGGAAAAGGCATAGCTAATAGTGAGAATTGTCATGAATATTAAAGTTCACAATCTGGGAATCTAAAACATAATACATTGATGCAACTGTTACATATATTTACAGGCAGTTTATACAAAAATCTGGTCATGGATGCTCATTTGTCAATACAGTGCTAAATCTGTGCTAAAATGAAATAAGATACTTAATGAATTTGCTTAATTATGCTTTGTGTCTAATATTTATATAGTAATTATGCTTTTGTATATTTGCAATGTATCACAAAGTTTTTTATAGGGGTGTAAGAAAATATCGATACACGTGAGTATCGCGATATTTCATTTGGCAATACTGTGTCGATTCTCAAAAATGGAATATCGATATTTAAAAAAAAAATCATACAAGATTCATGGCAGTTGTTTCCTTTTGAGTTTACAGTATATCCCGACCGCTGTCTTCATCTCTGAACTTAAACAGTGACAGGAAATACTAGCATTAGGGCACACAGCTAATGTTAGCGTTAATATACAGGCGCATCTCAATAAATTAGAATGTCGTGGAAAAGTTCATTTATTTCAGTAATTCAACTCAAATTGTGAAACTCGTGTATTAAATAAATTCAATGCACACCGACTGAAGTAGTTTAAGTCTTTGGTTCTTTTAATTGTGATGATTTTGGCTCACATTTAACAAAAACCCACCAATTCACTATCTCAACAAATTAGAATATGGTGATATGCCAATCAGCTAATCGACTCAAAACACCTGCAAAGGTTTCCTGAGCCTTCAAAATGGTCTCTCAGTTTGGTTCACTTGGCTACACAATCATGGGGAAGACTGCTGATCTGACTAAAATTTTTTTTTTATTGGTCTTATGAAGTATTCTAATTTGTTGAGATAGTGAATTGGTGGGTTTTTGTTAAATGTGAGCCAAAATCATCACAATTAAAAGAACCAAAGACTTAAACTACTTCAGTCTGTGTGCATTGAATTTATTTAATACACAAGTTTCACAATTTGAGTTGAATTACTGAAATAAATGAACTTTTCCATGACATTCTAATTTATTGAGATGCACCTGTAGTTCTCTGCTAGTAATGGAGGATGAAAGAATTGTTCCAGTTCCCGTTTCGGTGTACAAAGCTGAAGTGTGGTGTCATTTGGGCTTTTAACGTCCACTGCAGGACCGTGGTGCGGGCGCCGCCTCAGTTCCGCCGCTTGCCGCGTCCAGAAAGAGCCTTCATTCGCGGCGGGCGGTAGGGTCGGCTGCAGCTTTCACTCGTGGTGGGAGCGTTTTGTGCAGTTGGAGCGGTGCTCGCGTCGCGGTCTCGGCGATTCCACGCGGAACATAAATACAAACTGAAAAACCTGTGAAATCCAAGTGGAAAGGTTCTGAGAATGTTTAACATCTGTATTTATTTTATTGTTTTAAAATTGTTTTGTTTTCTTTAGAATTCCTGCAAGCACTTTATTTTTCATTGATATTAAGCAGATGTAATTATTTTGTTCAGATCAAAATGTTATGACATTGTATGTTACAATTGTAAACTTAAAATGTGAACCTTTAAAGCAGGGTCTAAAAAAATATATGGTCTTTTTATAAAATACATATTATACATTTAACTAAAGGATCCTGCAAGAACTTTAATTTTCCCCCCTTGACTCGTACTGCACAAAAAGTTCAATAACGTTGTGTTACAGGGACTGATTATTGCACATGCAGATCCCACTGTGTTCTGGTTAAATAATTTATATTTATTTATTTTATTTATTTATTGCTAAGGTTTGCATGTGGTGGTGTGTTCTTTTATAACAGCGTTCCTAAAAATATATCCTATTCCTAAATGAGAAATATCTCAATATATCGCCTTGCTTACAGTAACCCCGGTATCGTGATACGTATCGTATCACCAGATTCTTGCCAATACACAGCCCTAGTTTTTTATTTAAATATGTAGCATGTGTGGATGTGTGCCACTTCTCTGTTGTTTTTTTCTGTTATTTTGGATGATGGTTCAGTACAGCGAGTAACTGTCTTACTAAAAGCAAACCTGGTGGCACATTAAGCTCCACAGAGAACCGTGAGAACTCGTGGGACCAGATTAATCAGCCCGGCCCAGATGTGTCTCGATGGCTTTGGTAATAAGAACAGGATGCTTCCTGAGACTCGGGGGGTCCCTCAGCGGTTCACAGCTCCAGATCTGACGCTGCAGGCCGCCCCCGAGTCCTCTCAAAGAAAGGGCAAATGAGAATTCGGCTCAAATGCCAAAGCTGTTTGCTTCATTTGTTTTGCTTCATACAGCATGCTGGACGTTTAGAGGAACTACAGCTGAGTCTCTGTACTGATTAGGGTTGTGAATCAAGAGCTAGAACATGCTTTCATGACCTTCAGTTTAATTGAGTCATTTAATAAAGTAAAAAGACTCTAGATACAAAGACAATAAGTTGACATCCCATCTTTTTACAGATATTGCACTGATATTGAGAAGTGATATGGTAACATTATATTAAGGTGATGTAGTTACATGTTCTTACTATAGTAATAGCAGTAAATTATGCATAATTACAAGCAGCTAACCCTAAACCAAACCCTAACCATATTCCTTACTTTATTAATTAATATATTTATTTGTGTAATTACACTGTAATAACGTCACCTTTAAATAAAGTGTAACCATGTTCATTTGTGGCCACAAAATCTTTTTTCCCTGAATCGGTTTGAGCTGTTCTCATCTTCTCAGCTTTCTCAAAGCTGCTATAAGAATTGTTAAGGAACTGGTTTACTGGAATTGAATTAATCCATAATCTTTAAATTCTTTGCAATTCACATCATTAGTGTCAATACAATTATATATAAATTCTTATTTTTTCCCCCACGATATTTCATTAAACCTTTAGATCATTGTATTAAAGTGCCCCTATTATGGGTAATGAAAGGTTCATATTTTGGTTTTGGGAGTCCCCAATGTAAACGTGGCTGACGAGACGTGAGACGTGCGGATCGATGTGCAAGCTTTATTCACAGGCGTGGTCAGAAACAGGCATGGGTCAGACAATGGCAAACAGGAATATGGTGGACAAGACACAAGAATAATCCTAGGGCTAGCGAAGGTCAACGAACGGCAAACAGAATTAAAAAGGGCGAGACTAAAGGGATAAATCCAGGAAACCAGGCAAGGATCAGAAACCGAGAAAACAGACAAGGCAAGACTAGGCTAAGGCAGGGTAAACTAACAAGGGCTCTGTAGTGTAGCTATCAAATGATAAGTGCTAAACAATACTCGGCGGCGGGAAGGGATCAGAGTGAGTGTTAAATAGTGAGTGAGTGACATGAAACAGCCGTGACAGGACGAGTAGGGAGTTCGCAAACGGCCTCTATAGCCGTGACAGGATGAGCAGGGAGTTCGCAAACGGCCTCTATAGCCGTGACAGGACGAGCAGGGAGTTCGCAAACGGCCTTTATGGCCGTGACATGACGAACAGGGAGTTCGCAAATGGCCTCTATGGCCATGACAGGACGGGCAGAGGGTT